GTAAGTGTTGCAAATGACCAGACTATGGAGATTACTAGGTATGGGTTGCTAGAGCTTTGGTTCCCTTGTTTCGAAGCGGGGCCCTCTGGAACCCAAGCTTACAAAGAGATTCGAGTCCAGCTGGAAGCGTATATTGCTCCCAATTCGATAAGCATCCTCAGCTCAGGCATCTTGCAGTCTTTAGGCTTTAGGATCTTTCATTATGACTATGATCCTCAGTTGCACGTTGCCTATCCTCCGAGTGGGCTGCGTTTTGAGACAGAGCTGTATGCCAACACGTCATGGTTGAAAGCTTGTACCTACGTTGAGCCTGATCCTCCTGCTGGTTCCGCACAGTCGGTCGAGAATGGAAGCGTGACTTCTTTTGTTCCGTCTCGCCCTGTAGGTGTAGGGAAAGAAACCGTAGGAGTAGGGTTTGAAACCGTAGGTGGCTTGCGTGTCGGTCGGTCGGTTGCTTCGTCTCACCCGGTAGGGCTAGGTAACGAACCCTTGGTAGCCCAAAGCCGCTCTTGCTCCGAAGGCCAAATAGGACCTGTGACTGTAAGGGATGGCTGGGTCCGATCACGAGATGACCGACCACGAGATGGAGGACGGCGTTGTCAGGGTGATCAACTTGCCCCCGGAGGGCACAGTGCTCTCGGATGCGGTGCAGGCTCCCAGCCCGACGACGTCAGTGGAGTTATCCCCGATGGTGTCGGAGACCGCTGCTCCAGAAGCCCCGGCGTCTCCATCGAGCTTCGCCGCGAGCCTCTTTGCGGAGTTCCTGAACTCACCGGTGACCCTCCGGAGGAGATCGCTATCCCGGGCACGGGGGTACAGCCAGAGGCTCCACTATAAGCAAGTCGGGAGCTCGATCGTTGGCTCGCCAGGACAGCCCAGACTCTCCAGTGGAGCAGGGCACCTGCGCATGGCGAGGGAGAGTGGCTCCAATTCCGGGCCCAATGCCAGCTTCTTCGAGTGTTCCCATGGCGGTGGAGAGCATCCAGGATCAGGTTGCTTCGGAGAGCGACGACGAGAACTGGGGAACTTGGAAGCCGGCGCCCGCCAGCTCGCACGAGGACGACGTGATGCCGGAGAGAGTGAACCAGTTGATGGGCTTCCGGGAGCAGGCCTCTGCGAGACGGCAGAAGCTGATAGCCACGGCGCGTGGCATGCAGCAGCCCCTCACGCCTCCAAAGCAGGCGCCTGTTACCCCGCCAAAGACGACGACAAGTGCTCCGGCCACTCCGCCAAAGGCGACGACAAGTACTACGGCCACTCCGCCAATGACGGCGGGAACTGCACCAGTCACTCCTCCGAAGCCGGTGCCGGTTACCTCGCCCAAGCCTGCGGTGAACATCTGGACAGCAGCGCCGCCACCAAGGGCGCCGAGCACAGCAAAGGACCCAAAGGCCTCGGGTGCAGCAAAGGACCCAAAGGCAGCGAGTTCAGCAAAGGCCCCGAAGGCAGCGAGTGCAGCAAAGGATCCAAAGGCAGCGAGTGCAGCAAAGGATCCGAAGGTATCGAGCGCAGCAGCAGCAGCGCCATTGGCAACGCCAGCTCCTGTGCCAGCTCCTGTGGCAACGCCTGTGGCAACGACTGTGGCAACGCCTGTGGCAACGACTGTGGCAATGCCAACTCCTTTGGCAGATCCTGTGGCAACGCTGGTGACGACGCCGACTGCTGCGGCGACTGGGGATCACGCGGCGCCGCCGCGACACATGCCTTTCTCAGCGATGGAAGGTGTTCGGCTGGGGTTCTTGGGCCCGAAGGAAGTGGCGGATTTCGCGGAAGCCGCTGCTCGAGCAAAGGCCGCTGCTCGGGCAAAGACAAAGAGCAGCATGCCGAGTCCTCCCGCGGCTCCAGAAGTGCAGAATACACCGCAGCCGCCTCCGGTGCCAAAGCAGGTACCCATGATGACAGCGCCAGTGCCTATGCAGATGCCCATGATGGACATTCGATACCACCCGTATCCTCCACCAGTTCAGGTGTGGGCCCGGCCTACTTCGACAGCGAGACCTACCTCAATACCGGTTCCGGCGGCACGACCGAGCTCAGCACCAACTACAATACCGACGGCACGGCCAAGCTCGGCTCCTACCGCAGCACCCTTGCCAACGGCACGGCCTCCGATTGCGGTGTCCATGCCAAAGAGAGTGTTGCTACCAGTGTCGAAAGGAACGCCCAAAGGTGTGCCGAAACCCCGGGCGGTGGTGGGTACGCACTACACCATCGAGATGCCCACACCAGCGGAACGTCCGGTGCCTACTCCAGCACATCTTTCAGCAAAACCTGCGCCAATGATTACGGTTGTCGACCTGGAGGATCACGAGTCGATATCCTCAGACGAGGATCTTGTTTCCTTCTTTGAACACCTGCAGAAGATTGGACTTTATTGGTCAAAGAAATGTGCACTCTCCAGCCTGCGCCCGCAGTGAAGTAAGCTGAGGTTTCACCCTCGCTTGCACTTGTGAGAATGCTGGTTCGATGAGGGCTCTTCCTCTCTTACCGCCTTCGCGGGGGTAGTTCTTAGTTCCAACAGGTTGAGGGCTCTCCTCCCTGTTCCTGGTTGAGGGCTCTCCTCCCGGTCACGCTTTTTCATAGCGAGGGGGCACAGTGCCTCTTCTTGAAGTTTAGCTGCGCCGTGTAGGGGCAGGGCAGCTTCTCTTTCTTTTGACTGTAACCTCAGTCGGACAGTAGTGCAGCTAAGCCTGCTTTGCAGCAAGCTGCGGGGCTTCGGCCGACGCCAGGCAAGTCTCACAGACGTCGACTGTGCGTACTTTGCCGCGTGGGAGTTCAAACAACATGACAAAATGACTTAGAGAACTAAGCTCAATTTTGATTTGTTGTTTTAGGGCTTTCCGTTGACATTGCATATTTTATCGAGCTTCGTTTTCATACATGCGGTTAGCTCAGTGAAGAATACACTTGCTCATTGCAGCAAGACCTCTCAAGGAGGGCAGGAAGCCCTGTATCGGGCGGGAAGCCCGAAATCGGGTGATAGTTTTATTTGAAATAGGGGGCGGGCCGGGTGCCTGTACCTCAGTGTCTTGACGAGAGGTCTTGATGAAGTGAGTCTTCTGCTTGTCTGAGCCTTGAGCTGTGAGCTAGCAGTACTCTGCTCGACTTGCGGAGTGATCTCGCAGTTGCCGACTTAGCTGGAGCTTTGTTGATGTTTCGGTGTGTGTGCCTCGAGCACTGGCCTGTGGTTCAGGAGCATGCAATCACCTGAAGTGACCGGCGAAGAAGCAGAGGCGCCGACACCCTCGGATTCGTTTACATCTACTGAGAGCTTTGTGTTACACCACATGCGTGGGTTACAGATCCAGATCAGTCGGCTGCATAGAATGCAGCTCCTGCTTGCTGACCGCCTTTTCGATCGCGTGTCGCGGTTGGAGTCTCAGCAGATGCTCGTTTCTTGCTTTCTCCGTTGGAAGTTTCGGGCTGGCCACAATTCTGATCCGGAGCATGCTCCTCGAGGAGTGCTGGAACCTCAGCTCCCGTAGTGAGACTTTGCATAGCGTGTCTCTTGCTCAGAGGAAGAGAAAGGCGGGCGAGGCAAACTTGCCCTGGGATACGCCTCCGGGATATCTCTTCAGGATGCAGGTGGTCGTTACTGACCGCCTAACGAGTTATATGACCATCACGCTCGATATTCAGCTGAGTTGCAGAGATATTATTGATCAGGCGAAGTACTTGGTGTCACAGCGTCTTTTCGAGCTTTTTGGTCGCTTCTCTAAGCTGAGCTCTTTTCAATTGGTCCAGGATGGCAGGCACCTGAGTTTTTCAGCTCCAGTGCAAGTGGCCAACACATTGTCACCTGTGAGATTCGTTCGCACCGCCTAAAAGCCTGAGTTGCCAGGTTTTGTTCGGGTGGCATATGCTGCTATCGAGTGGGTGTGCCTCTACACTCTACATGTTGCTTCGTGTTTGCAGCCGTTGAGTTCTAGGCAATTGCCAGCACCTCAGCGGATATGTCGGATCATGAAGCCCAGGAAGAGGTGTACGAGAGAGAAGGCGACATGTCGTCTTGGAGCTCGGCTTTTGATTTTCTGGAAGCTCCGACTAAGCCGAAACGCAGACACAAGAAGAAGAAAAAGACAGCGGAACGGGGCAAGAGAGCCCGTAAACAGCGGCCCCGGAAGGAGGGCAGGAAACCTGCGAGGAGCTCGGATTCCGCGGAGATCGTTGAGCTTAATGTTGAGGAGCCGGCGAGTAGCTCCCATGCACCTGTTGCGGATGGAGTTGACATGATTGCTCCAGAGTTGCAGCCGACCTTGGAGGAACTCCGAACTTCTGGGGAATATACTTTTGTAGCGACGTGGCAACCAGGACCCCCTCCGCCGAAGAGTGGTAGGACGCGAGGTGTAGCCAAGATGCTTATCCGTGCGGGCCTTCGATGTCGATGCCACTTCAAGTATCTTCATGAGTGCCCCGACAGAATTTGAGCTGTGCCGGGACCTCAGTTCCTTGTGCCCAAGTTTTGGTTAGGCTACCGTGTTTTCTGCTCGGCGGACGCATGACGGCTCCAAGCTTTGCGCCCAAATATTGGGGAGGACTTGGAGTGGCTGCAGGCATGCTCCTTCCTTTTTCGTGTCTGCTCATGCTTGTACTGTTTAGTTGATAATGCGAGTTGTGCTGGTATTGACTATGCACATGTTTTGGCTTGAGCGTGAGTCCGATGTGCATCTATGCCTGGGCGCGTTGTGACACTCAGGTCAGCACGGCTGAGTGCAGGCACGTTGATGGCATCTCGAAAGCAAAAATGCGCAAGAGCGCTATCGATGCGAGTGAGTACGCCAGAGGTTGCGTGTGTGCAGAGGCACTCTCATACTTGATGTTGTGTGCCATTTATTGTTGGCCCAAAAAAAAGACACGAGAGACCGAAGCAGCAAGCAAGGCAGGAGCCTGGAGCTGTGTGTTTGACTGGGCGCCGGAGCGCTCGATAGAGTTCTGTGAGGGCTGGAGCCCGGATACAGCTGCGTGCTGCATTTGAGTAGCTGGGGATGTTTCCTTGGCCGATGGGACCGATGGGCCCGATGATGCCCTCATTCGGTAAGGAGCGGCGTCGGCGCCGTCGGCGCTCCCCTTCTAGCAGCTCTGAGCGATCGAGGAGCAGGAACCGTGATCGCAGACGCGATCGAGAGTCCAGGTCGGCGGGGGCACGTGCTGCTCCGCAGTTTCCCCCACCAGTGCCTCAATTGCCGGCGGCAGCTCCGGGATATGAATGGAGGCAAGTGCCAGTGATGCCGGTGCAGCCACCTTTGCCGCCTCCTTCGACGCCCGCCCCGGTCGCTGCGACAGCACCTGTGCCTCAGCAGCAGGCTACGTGGAGTCGCCAGCCTTGGCGAGGCGAGGCCAGCAGAAGCAGGGCCAGTGGAATAAGCGCTGGAACCAGTGGCATCGATCCAGTCAGGGGTCGGGTGAGGCCCCATGGTCGGGCCGTCAGTCCGCTCAGCCGGAGCCGGACTGCCACAACATCCAGGAAGCCACTCCTTCTGAAGTGGCAGCGGCTGATGCTCGACGTGCTGCTAAAGAAGCTGAGCAGGAAGAGGCGGACGACGAGGCGGCGTACCTCGCATCCCTGTGGAAGTCAGCGCAGGATGAAGCGCGTGCGGACCCCACTCGACCATTGTCAGCTCGGGAATTGGCAGAGCAAGGAAAGCTGCAGTGGTGGTGGAAGATGCCATGGAAGGCCGTAGTCGACAAGTTCCCCGACACAACTGGCTACAAGGAATTCTTGGAAGGACTTGAAGGTCCGATACCGGCCTCTGTGATATCCCGGGTGGCCGCGGTCCTTTCTGCCTTTCGGGCTTACGGCCGCCCCCTCGAGGGGGACAATCCTGTGGCGGGCATCGTCGGACCCGATGCCCACATCTTTCGAGTGCCTGGGCAACGAATTTTGATCTTGACCTGCGAATTGCGCGGGCCAAGCTATATCCGTAATCCGAACTCGGAACACTCGGCTATCATGGCCCATGGTACATCTTTCCCAGCGTTAATCGGCGTGGCGGAGATAGGAGAGATCGCGGTGAACGATTACCGCGATCAGGGAATTCCCTGCTTCGGCTTTTCGGCACGAGGTTCATTGGTCGGCCTGTCCCGGGATGCCCTCGAAAGCGCAGCGACAAAATGCGCGAGTCGGGCTAAAGCCCTGGGTGGTGCGATTATCCTCGTAGAGTGCGAGTTGCTGCGGAGCACCCCCTCTGTAGAGGGGGGGAACGACATGATGCAGATCTCTTGCCGGGACGCTGGCTCGGTCAGGTCGGGGGATCACTTTTTGATCTCCCCAAAACACGCGATTATGAGAGGAATCGCAGTAGGGTGGCCGGTTTGAGTGACCCTGCATCTGAAGATGTGAGCCTAGTTGCATTGTGCGATAGTATCAGTGTTGCATGGGATCATTCGGTATAGTTCTTCAGCTTATTCATACGGTGTTGCTTGCATGGCTCACACCGGTGGTGGGGAACCCTACCTTTATGAACCACGAGGAAGTGGCAGACTGTCGGGATTCGCGACATGAAAACCATTCGGCTGCATTACCCTGATTGCGAGGACATGAACTGAGGCATCTCGTCTGCTGAGCTCGTATGTGATTCAGGGGATATGTGCAGCGAACGAAGTCATCTTGGTGTTTGGACTGATTGGTTCAAGTTTTGACCGTTTTGGCGGGGCGTAGCTCCTGCGAGCGTGTTGCGATGTCTTGTCACGACCCCAGAGCGAGTGAGAACGAAGTGTTCATGCGGAGCATTGCTCACGCTCGATCGTCGCTGCCGCGGCAGCCTTGGGAGCAGCCAGCTATGTTATGTATCTTTGACCCCTTGAAGGCGGCTTTTCCTCAAGGCTTGAACCTGCCTTATCAGGGATTATCTCGTGCGGCGCCTGTTCCTCAGACGGCCGCCCAGCCTTCGGACTTTGGAACGCCTCTGGCGAGCAGTTCTCCTTGTCAGGCTTGGACTCGTGCAGTCAAGGCGAAACGAGGCCCTAGGGCCGCTGATCGTCGGGAAGAGGCGTATCGTCGGGTCCTCACATTGCTTCATGCATTCTCGAGTTTCTTCGACTTGTGTACCTTGATGGCTGATGACGAAGAGGACGGCCAGGATTCGGTTCAGGCAGTCTTGGCGGGGAAATCGCCGAATACCATCTTGAAACACTTGGGCCCGGTTCGCACTTTTTGCGAGTGGATCTTGAAGGCAAGCCACACTCCGCCTTTCCCCGAGAAGGTCCTGTGGTCTTTTATCCATTGTGTTCTCAAGATGCCTAAGACCGCGGCCACCACACTGGACAGTAGTCTGCGAGCAATCAAGTGGAGCTACTATACATTGGGACTTCGTGTGCTGCTAGAAGTTTTCAGCAGCCCTCGAATTCATGGTGTGGTGACGAAGGCACTGCAGTCTAAGAACCCGTGGTGCCCGGCGGCACCCCTCAAAGTTTCAGAAGTTCTTCAGCTTCACGCGATCTGCTGTGACCATTCGGTTTCTGTCATTGATCGTTGTGGGGCAGCACATTTTCTCGCCATGCTCTACGCGGGGGCGCGTGCATCGGACATCAGGTGTGTGAAAAGCATATTGATAGACGTGCACCAAGAAGATTGGAGCTCGGGTTTCATTGAGTTAGGGACCTTGGAGCACAAAACGTCTAGACTGGATACCAACGACGTCGTATACTGCCGCTGGTGATTCCGGGCCAGGGTATTGCTCAAACACCTTTTGGTCAACTCCTGTTGGATATCAGGGCTGAGGCTGGTTTGCCGAACGATCAGGCGGATGTTCCACTCCTTCCGGCACCGCTGCCGAATGGGTCATGGTCCTCTGACCCATTGTCTAGCAGTGAAATTACCAGGTGGTTGAGGTTTCTACTGCCGCGACCATCGTCGGAACAGGCTCTCAGTTCGCACTCGTTGAAGGTGACCTCACTCGTTTGGTGCAGTAAAGTAGTGATGCGGTTTATGGACGCGAATTGCAGTGCGGCGCTGCGAGAGTATGTTGTCGTGCTGGATGCAGTTGCAACGGGCAAGTTCCTTCCGGACCAAACTCGTTCGGGCCATTTTGCTTCAGGTTGGAGTCGCGAGTCCATCCTGCAGGCAGCTGCTTTCCCACAGGAATCTGAGTCCACGCAGGCGACTCTGGAGGACGACCAGGATGATGCTTTGGCTGTAGTTTCTGATGTTTCTGACTCCGATGACAATGCCCCGGAAGAACAGTCTTTCTGGGCTCACCCGACTAGCCAGGTCTTGCTTTACTGGGCTTGCCCAGTTGACCTGTTGAAACCTTCGAATTTTGGGCGGCCGGGCGGGAAAAGATATTTTCAGTTTTGAGTCTTTCCAAGTTTCCGTTTTAGCACGCAGTCTCTCAGTATTTCTCAGATCATTTCAGTTCTCAGTGAGAATCCGTCTTTCCGATATGTTTAGGCTCAGTTTTAGTTTTTTGGTAGTGTGGGGCAAAGGCTCCTTCGGACGTAGATGTCATGGCCAGAGCTGCAAGGGCAGGAGCTTGCACTCCTTAAAGGGGCATTCGCGAACCCCAGGCAACTGCAGGCACCTTCGATAGTCGTGAGGAGGCGGCTGAACTAATCGAGGTGTTCTTGCCAGGCATCAACCGAGATGGGAAATATCAGAGAGCAGACGTTCTTGTGGCATGGGCACAGGAAAATGAATCAGTGATCAAGCGACAGCGAAGGGAGTCATTGCAGGGCATGTGGGAGGTGTTACCCCAGCAGCGTGTGGTACCGAAGCTGACGGATACCTTCGATGAGCTGGCAAGGAGCAACCCGCTTGTCCTGCTGCCAGCACTGCAGCGGAAGAGGCGCTTGCTTAGAGAAAATACCGACGCTACACAGCGCGCAAAGGAGGAGCAGCTGGCGAAGAAGAAGTATGCCTTACAACTGGCTGAGATACTTGAGCAGGCGAAGTTGCCATTGGTGCAGCAGCTGGAGGGAGTGGACCGGCCCGAAGAAGTTTGGCCGCGGATATTTGGAACCCGCAGGAGCAAGACGCTGCGAAACCGCTTAAAGGCATGGGAACCCTTCAGAACTTGGCTGCAGTGCGTCCATGAAGTGCAGTGGCCAACTAGCGTGCGGCAGCTGATTGATTATAGCAATGAGAGATTCCAAAGCGAGTGTGGCAAGACAGTGCTGAACAGTTTCCAGGCGTCGCTGGCGGTCCTGGAGCAAGTGGGAAAGGTCGCAGAGACACAGCGGCTGTCGAGTGATACAACTTGGATGGCACACTTGAAGTCGTTAACTGCAGATCTGGTGGGTGCGCAAGCACCGGTACAGCAAGCACCCATGATGACGGTGGCGATGATCATCTCACTTGAACTGCACATTGCAAGGGAGGATGAACCAGAGTATGTACGGGCAATGGCATTCGTGGCGCTGCTGGCTGTGTATGGTTCCATGCGAATGGACGACTTGCAAGGGATGCTGCCGGCCACCATGCGGCTTACAGCACAGGGCTTCAAGGCCACTCTGGGACGCACCAAGACGACGGGCGCAGACCGTCGCAACAAGGAGGTCTCGGTCTTCATACACAGGCAGGCAGGATTGTCGGGTTTGATTGGCTAGGTGAGGGCTTTGCGCTTTGGAAGAAGTATACTCAGCCGAGAGACTTCCTTGTCATGATTGCCAGAGACGATTGGAAAGGGCCAACTAAGCACTTTGCTAAGAGCGAGGTAGTTGCAGGCTATGTGCGTGAGGTCTTCAAGAGGCTAGCAACGCCAAAGTTTGAGGATGGGGCCTATCGCCTCAACGTGCAGAGATACCTCTTGGTGGAAGGGGCACAAGGCTTCTTCACGGGGCATAGCCCACGCAATTGGCTTACTTCAGCTGCCGCGGTGTTGGGATGGTCTAAGGATCAGAGGGATTTCTTGGGTCGTTGGATGATCGGTGGTTCGGGTTCTGCCGACTACGCGCGCACTGCAAGGGAGGTTGTGCATCGCATACAGATTGGAGTCTGCGAAGCAATTGTCACCGGCAAGGGTGGCGAGTATCAAGAGAGTGAGGCCCTCGAAGAGCTAAAGACATTTGTTGACGAACGTGGAGGTTCAGGTGCATTGGCCAGGCGGCGGCATGATCTACTTAGGACTGTGGAGGGTGTACGCTGCTTGGGCAACAGGTGGCCTGCCATTGAACAGGATGATGCAGACGCCAGTGAAGAGGATGAGGCCCCGGAAGCGATGAACGTTGAGGGTAGTGCCACGAAGTACTTCATTAGCATCAGTCGTAAGACGGGCCATCGCAGGCTGCACTTGAATGGGCCGTGCCATGTTAAGCCACATCATTGCAATAGGGTCGAGTTTGTCGAGCGTGTCGCATTGGAGCAGATCGACAGCATTTGTCGTGATTGCAAGCATCGCATGAGGGAAGATCAAGGTGCCGAGGACGATCAGGACACAAGTAGCGAGAGTGGGTCCACAAGTGACTCGAGCAGCGAAGAGGGGTGAGAGCACGTTTGAAGCTTGGTGACAAACTGTGTGTTGCGGTAGGAACGTGCTGTGATCGAGGTGCGGCTTGTACATGGCTGTTTTGCATGGGTAGGTGCTCGCGTGAGGAAGTTTGGCTAAGGCAGCTTCGCAGGAGCGTCGGCATGTTCATGATTGTGAGTGTTTCGCGAATTTCAGTGAGAGTCTTGAGTGCATGCAGTTCTACACATACGGAGTTAGGAGCTGTGTGATTTTCAGTTGCCATGGGCCACCGCTGAGATTGCGGTTTCAGTTGCACAGCACGGTGCTGTTTCAGATAGCATGGCGTTGCCCAGTGAGGCGGATCAGAGAGCAGAAGTGGCAAAGATGGATTCCGACTTGCAGTATGTGCTTCAGGAAGCCAGTGCGTCACTGGCCACGCAATATCAGGTTGCGCGGCTCCATCAGAGTCGTAGGCGATTCCAGGCGATCGCCGATAACCGTGAAGGTGCCCGGACTGCAGCACGTGATTTCGGGATTAATCCTGATACGCCGGCGGGCCGTGTTGAGGTGGCAGCTATAGTAGCTGCGTGGGAACTTGCCAAGGAGTATGCCAGTAAAGAAATCGAGCTACGTGCGGAGGCGAAAGTTTTAGGCCATAAGAGAATCTTGCAAGTGCAGGAACGCCAAGCCATGTTGAAAGCAGTGACGGATGCATACGGGAAGATGAATGAAAGCGAGACGCCGAGTGCAGAGTACTTGGCAACAAAGGCCGAGGAGTGCGAGAGCAATGAGCCTCTCGCGAGTTCGCTTGATCGCATCTCTTCAAAGAAGGATTCTCAGGTGGAGAGCCTCCAGACCAGCATTGATCCCACCGGGCATGTTCGTGTGACAAAGACTATGCAGAAGTTGGAAATGCCACATCACTCAGAGGGCTATAGGCTCTTGATGAAGGTCGAAGCACATGCATGGCTCTGCATGAGTGCACGGTTTAAGGCAAAGGCTTGGTTGCAAAGGCTTCAGCTTGAAGATTTCACTAGGTTTGTTGAGTACATCTTGGGAGATCGTGTTGGCAACTTGAAGTTGCCCACCGCTTCAGGGCAAGAGACGCAGTTCAACCGGCCACCATGGAACATCGTCTTGAGTTATGAATATAAGTTGAGGGTTGAAGCTTTCAAGATGAACCTGGAGGGAACCGCCACCATGGCGGAGGCACTTCGGGCAGTGCGTGAGGACCCATCTCTGAAAGAGGCGTACTTTACAACACCTCTGGCATTGCACACAGCTGGTACGCCGAGCAAGTTTCGGAAGGGCAACAGCAAAGGAAAGGATAAGATGCAAGGGCAAGAGATTCCGCTGCCGCCGGCGCCACATCAGAACGGTCGTGGAACAGGGAAAGGCAAAGGTGTTAAACATTCTGCCAGGAACAGTAACACAGCTAGTGCAGTACAGTTAATGTACAGGAACAGCCGTCACGCACACGCGACGTGCAGGCTCGAGACCCCAGGACACACCGTGCCCAGGAACAAAAGTGTCCGACAGTCTTTGTGGGTAGGAACCCTTAGTGAAGCCCGTTCTTTAACATGGTAGCGGAGCTGCCTCCAGGAACCTCCTTGGCAGCGATGATGCTACTTGTAGCCATAGGAACCATGATGCTCGGCGCCATGGCAGTTTGCCTCGTTGCCGGATGGAAGCAGATGCGCGCAAATGAGCAGATCACCAAGAAGACAGAGACAGTGCTCAACATGCCCACGCTCAGGATCGCAGTCCGTTCAGGAACAAAGTACCACCGCAGAGGTTGTGGACACCTTCGCAACCAAAACGTGACAGCAGGAAACGCGCGAGACTTTGACGCTTGCAGCGATTGCTACCCCGACCGAGTGTTGGTGGAAGAGAGAGAGAAAAGGAACATGAAGTGCTACGGTTTGGCAGCATGTATGGTGCTGCTGGTTGGTTTCGCACTGGGAAGCCTCGCAACTTTGTGCGGGATGATCTTGGTCCCAGGAGCAGGAAGTATAGCGGTGAGACCGTGGCAGGCCCTTGGCAACAACGTGGAGACCAAGGAAGAACTTGCCCTTGGAGACGTCTTATCCTCCAAGGATGCGAGCCGTGGGAGAAGGGAACTCACTTACGTGGAGAGCGACGAGAGCGAGCTCATGGCAGTGTGGTCGAGCAGAAGGAAGCCCAATACGCACCGGAACCGCTACAGGAACTATGACGTGTACGGCGAGTACTACCAGCAAGGCTACAACGAGTGCAGCGTGAACCCCGACGGCACCAAAGTGAACACGATCAGGAACACGAACGCGTACACGATTAAGGACTATGTGGAGATAGGAAAAGTCATGGTACCGTACGCTTTGTTGTGCATGAACCAAGTGATGAACGAGCTCTACAGCGTCGTTAGCGTGACCGGCGAGTACTACACGGAAGAGAACAGGAACGGCAACCAGAACACCAAGAACCAGGAGAGTGAGAGCCTTGAGTCAGGCTACGCCCCTAGGTACCTAGTAAAACAACAGCGAGAAGTACTGAGGAAAGTTGTACAGGAACATGTTCACAGTTTCGTAGAAAAGCTAGCAAACGTAGGAAAGAAGTTTCACGACGTCGTGCATGTGATAGTTCAGGAAGTCATTTCCAACAGAGTTGTATTTCAAGGAATTCGCATAGCAGTGTTCTTAGGAACCCCAATGGGAATGATTACTTGGATCACCCTGTCGTACTATTCTAGTGTGTTTTTCGCAAGAGCAAGCAACCGCTCAAAGCACCAAAGGAAGACAAGAGGAGAAAGGAGAGCACACGCAGTGAGCAGGAAGCAGTGCAAGTCGCTACTTTTAGCAGCACTAGTGTACAGCAACCTTGAAACAGCAAAAGGAATGGAGGATGCATTGAAGGCACTTGCCGAGAGCAATGCACAGACTTTGCAAGGAATACAAACACTAGCAGAGGAGATCAGGAACTCAGCAGCTTCAGGAAGTCAGAGAGAAGCAGGACTTACACAAGCATTCCAGGAAACCCTGACAGCAGTTCAGGAACAGCAGAAGACAGCGCAAACAGCGTTGGCAGATGCTCACACAAACGCAGCAACGACACTTGAGGAGATAGGAGCATCCCTGGAGAAAGCAGTAAAGGAACAAAGAAAGCCTGGAGAAGTGGAGTTGCACAAGCTGATTAAAAGCCCCGAAGCATTTTCCCCAGGAACATGGCAAGAAGAGCAGAGTGGATGGACAGAGTTCAGGAACAGGATGCGGATCTGGCTTGGAGCAGTGGATTCCAACATGGTGAAGATCATGGACATCGCAGAAAGGAACCTAAAAGATGATAAGCAAGTGAAGATGGCCGAGATGTCTACAGAAGCAAAGGAAACCAGCAGACGCCTGTACAGTGTTCTTTGTTCGTATACTAAAGGAAGGCCGTATCGAGTTGTAAAGCATGTAGCTGAGGAGAACGGTATGGAAGCTTACCGTATGCTACTCAAGGAATATCAACCAACGAATCGCGCGAGATCGTTGGAGTTGTTTCACAACATTCTCAACTACAAATTCGCTCACAACAAAGGAATTGCTGAGAATATCCTCGAATATGAGGAACACATCGAGAAGTACGAGAAGGCTACTGGAGAAAAGGTACAGGCGAATTTGAAAGTATCTACTCTTATTCAAGGTATGAAACCTGACGTGAAAAGGCACTTGTTGCTCAACATGGATGAGAAGACACAGTACAATACTCTTCGTCAGTACCTTGTAAACTATGAGTCAACCGAGCGTTGGACTAACTCTTTGGCAGCCCAGCAAGGAACACCTCACCGAACCACAACAGACTTGATCGACAAAGGTGATGACCATGGTGGTCTTGCAGCAATGGATATCAACCAAGCATGGTACAAAGGAAAGAAAGGCTATGGCAAAGGTTATGTACACCATAAAGGCAAAGGTAAAGGAAAAGGCAAGAAAGGTGGAAAGGACTTCGGAAAAGGTTTCGGCTTTGACAGCAAAGGCAAAGGTAAAGGTAAAGGTTTCGGAGGTTTTGGCAAAGGCAGAGGTCGAGGCAACTGGAAAGGCCGAGGAAGAGGTTTCAGAGGTTACAAAGGAAAAGGCAAAGGTCGAGGAAGAGGTTTCTTCAGACACAAAGGAAAAGGTAAAGGCAAAGCCCAAGCAGCTACAGGAGTGTGTCACTACTGTCATAAGTATGGACATTTCGAAGCACAGTGCAGACAGAAGATGCGTGACATGGGTTATCAGGCCAGGAACGTTGACCTTGAAAACCAGAGCGAGCAAGCGAGCACTACAGGTACTTCTACTCAGGCCCCTTCGTCAGCCAACAAGACCTCAACAAGCCAAAGCCAAGCAAGCCAAGGAACCCAAAGACCAGTGCTTAGGATGGTCTCCATGTACCACATGGGAGACGAGCCCACAAGCTTTCCGGAGGAATTCGAGATGAGTGAGAACTCTGATGAGATAGAGATTGAGTACTTCGGAAGAGTTTTGCGGGTTGTTGGTGAAGAAGTTCAGGAAGAGAGGAGTGAGACAGAAGAGTTTTGGATTGGTGATGAAGATGATGAGTTTCAGGACTGTGATGAGGTGAGTGATGATGCATGGCTGGAATGGCATCTAGCAGGAACCCCTATAGGAACTCAGGATCGTGGATACTACTTTGAGTGTCCCAATGGATGTCATGAAACACCGTGGCACCCAAACATGCAGGAATGTGAGAACGGATGTCACCATCCTCCTAGAAGGAACAGAGTGGAGAGAACAGCACCCTCAAGGACCATCACTAGGTTTGCGCGTGCAGCAAGGAACGCGAGAACTCGAGAAATCGAGGTCGTGCTGGATTCAGGAGCCGACATTTCGTTGGCACCAATGTGGATGAAGAAGTATGGAAGAAAGGCACCCAACACTACCAAGGTAGTTTTGCGAGATGCACAAGGATCTCGGATTAAGGTTTCAGACCAAAGGATCATTGAGGTTGAGTTTCGGGATGTTCAAGGAAACATTGTGAAGGTTGAAGAAGTGTTCTTGATTTCATCGGTTGTGCACCCTCTTTTAGCAGTAGGTAAACTGTTGAAGAAAGGCTGGGAGTTCAGAGATGGAACAGCAACAGGCACTTTCCTAACAGAAGGAACAACCAAGATCGCAGTGAACTACCCGAATTTGGCGAATCACTTTTGGTTTTGACCAATCGTTCAGGAACACGTGCCAATAGGAAAGGTGACCCTATTTGGTTGAGAGGAGTGTTTTTAGGAAAAACAGACAACAACCTCTTCATTACTTGGCACATGGACGGCATCAAGACAAGCCGTAGCGCAAAACGTTGCTTGGAACACTTCGACGTGAAAGGAATAAGTAGCGTAGGAATTCACACTTGGGAAGTGAAGCACACTACATTGGCAACAAGGAACATTCCCAGGAAGAATATCCCAGGACCAATTGCAGAGGCGCCACCTGTCATGGATGGAGCAGCTCAGGAACAGTCGGTCGAGGACTCGGCACCTTCCGCACCTTCAGGACCGATCGCAGGACCGATTGTCATCCAAGGCGGGGACTCTGCAGGGAAGTCAGGACCTACTAGGACAACCTACCTAGAGAGCAAAGCGAAGCAGGCACAGAGCAAGAGAAAGGCAGAAGAAGAACTTGAACAGGAATACGACGACCAAAACAAACACGACGAAGCAGCTTCAGACCCAACGTCTTCTAGTAGCAGCAGTAAGGAAATGGACGCAGACTCAGAAGAAGAACTCATTCCAGACAGTGCAATGGCAAGTGAACTTCTTTCAGCTAGAGGACCAGCACCTCTTAGGAAAATGGAATTTGATGATGTAGGAACAGGTTCCAAGATCCCGAAGATTGATTCTCCGAAGAAGAAGTACCCTCCGTTTAACGTAGGAAGAGTATTTGAGCACAATGATGAAGAACTACCTGAAGCAGAACCAGGTACAGAGGACATTTTCTGGGAAGATTCATATTCGGACATTGGCGATTCCGATGAGGAACAAGACATCTTCAAGAGCGAAGATTATGGACCTCCAGAAGTTGCAGAAGCCCAGTTGCAGGAACTGGATCGTGAGGCAATGCTCACAGAGATCAACAGACTCACCGAGATGAAGGCATTGGCAAGGAAACCATTGCAAGAACTCGAGAGAGAAGAGGAGAGAGAGACAGAAGAAGAAGAGAGCAACCAAGGAACAAAGTGGTTGACGACGAAATTCGTCTTCGATTGGCGATTCAGGAACGGCCGATGGATGCGGAGAGCTAGGTTAGTAGCGAGAGAGTTCAAAGGAGTAGAAGTAAGGAACGACACGTTCAGCCCAGCGACGAGCGCATCGTTGGTGAGACTTATCCCGATCTTAGGATTGCAACAGGAACATTCCCTGTACTCCATTGATGTCAAGGACGCATTCTTGCAGGTCCCACAAAGGACGCGATGTGCATGTCAATTCCCGAAGAAATATGTGGATCTGTTTGGCGACCAGGACCCTAGTTGTAGGAACGAAGGTTTGTTACTGCTTAGAGTACTTCCAGGACAGCGAGATGCAGCACTACTATGGAGTGATCATTTTGCAGGAACCCTCAAAGAGCAGAACTTTGATATGAGCAAAGCTTGCCCTACTTTGTTTCGTGACGACAGGAACAGCATACTTGTTGTGCATGTAGATGACATTCAGGCAGCAGGGAAAACAAGGCACCTAGAGCCCAAGCTAGGAAAGCTAGGAGAAACCTACGAACTAAAGGTTGAAGGCCCCTTCTTGACAGAGCAGGAACTTGAGGTAGGAGAGTCACACCAGACAATCCGATTCCTTAAAAGGAAATTCAGCTACCACAATCACGAGCTCCACATCACGAGTGACCCGAAGTATCTTGTGAAGCTTAAGGAAGAACTGAAGCTTACCAGCAAAGCCTCGAAGCCAACTCCGTGCACCCAAGAGTCGCAGGAACAGGATAACACTCAGACCTTGAACCAGGAACAAGCGGCATCGTTCAGGAAAAGCGTTGGCATACTCTTGTATGTCAGTCAGGACCGCCCTGACGTGCAGTTTGCCGTGAGAGGTTTGGCCTCCAAGATGTCGGAACCAACACATGGTTCTTGGAAACACTTAGTCCACCTAGTGCAGTACATGTCGGGAACTGAAGGATACCATTTAGTGTACAGGAAAACGCCTAGAGGACTCAGTAATCTCCATGAATCCATCAGGAATGGTAACTACGACTTTACAGGAATAAGGCCCAAGGAACACCACCTTTTGGAAGTCTTCAGTGATTCAGATTGGGCAGGAAAGAAGGACACAAGGCGCTCAACATCTTCAGGAATTGTTTGCTTAGACGGTCAGTGCATTTACTCTTTTTCTAGGAACCAGAAGTCGGTTAGCTTGAGCAGTGGTGAAGCAGAGTATTACGCAGGAGCGTCAGCAGCGTCAGATTCTATATTGTTGAAGGAAGCAGTAGAATTCTTGACCAGGAAACAATGCAAGGTACACTTGTACATGGATTCTTCTGCAGCTAGAGGAATTATTACAAGGCAAGGTGTAGGAAGAGTCAAGCATTTGCAGATCAGGACCCTTTTTCTTCAAGACCTCCACAAAGAAGGAACAATTAGTGTTCACCCAGTAGGAACCAAGGAAAACACAGCCGACATAGGTACCAAGCCCCTTTCAGCGAAAAGGATCAAACTGTTGTTGCACTGGTTAGGTTTTCAAACCAGCGAGAACGAACCAGTAGGCAGAGAAGAGCTCAAGGAACACAAGGCCCAAACACAAGCTAAAGCAGTTGTAAGAATGATCAAGAGCCCAGGAACTTTGTCTTTTGCAGCTTTGTTGTTTGCAGGAATTTCAGGTATTTCAGACAGTCTTCAGATTCAGAGTTTCAAGGAACAATGTCTTGAGAGTTGTTTTCAGGAAGAAGAGTTTCAGCCAGATTTTCAGGAACATGTTTTCTGTTGTGCAAGTGCATGTGAGCAGGACGGCATGTGCAGTGACACGAGTGCATGTGAGCTAGGAACGTCTGCAGGAACAGCGCATGGAACAGCATGTCGTGAGATGCTTTCGCAGCTCAAGGAACTCTGCGGAACACTCGCGGAACGCTCAGGTATCCAGGAACTAGTTCGCCCGGTAGCAGAAGGTCAAGGAAACCTTCCAGGAACCTTAGCAGCCATGGAAGCAAGCGCGAGTTCGAGCAAAAGCACCGAAGAAGTGTTCAAGGAACTTTCTACCTTGAGAGAGGCGGCAACCGCCTTAAGGAACGCTTCAGAAGAAAGGAACTTGATCGCGGAGTCGATCAGGAAGAACACAGAGGAAGCTGCGCGTTTGCGCAAAAGCCAGGAACACGTGGCTGGTTGTGTGGAGTCCTTGACAGGACAAATCTACGACGTCAAGCACCAGGTTCAGGAAATGGCCGAACAGAACGACAGAGACCGGCAACAGGTCAAGGAACACATGGCCTTCGTCCTAGGTACATGTGACGCCGTAAAGGAACAGCTGAACCAGATGATGCAGGACTTCTACGAGCAGCAGCAAGAGGAACAAGAAGAAGAGGAAGAAGACGAAGAAGAACAAAGGAAAAGAGAAGCCAAGGACCGAGAACTAGAAGGTGAACTACGTCGTGAAGGACACGGACAAGGAACAGCACCGTCGAGAGCTACGTCACCTACGTCCCAGGAAAGGAAGGAATATTCGGACCGAGGCTACTTCGAGGGCATCCAGGAACGAGAGCAGGACAACGAGAACGAGAACGAGGCCTACGTCAGCAGCTACGTTGGAGGAGAAGATCCCGGGGAGTACCCCGATGAAGGAACACCAGCAGCAGCAGAGGAAGAAGAAAGTGAGGAAGCAAAGGAAGAGAGAAGGAAGAAGAAGATCGCGGAGATCAACGCCAGAAGCAAGCAAAGGCTCAAGGAAAAGGAAGAGGAGAAGAAGCTTTTTCCGTACCCCTACGACTACGCCAGCGAATGGAAGGAATACTCCGAGAACGGCGAGATCTACAGGCAACACAGAGTTACAGGAGAAAAGCAGTGGGTCGACAAGGACTACACGTACAAGCACGAGAAAGGAACAAAAGGAAAGAAGGAAGGAAAAGGAAAAGGAAAGCCAAAGGCAAGAGCAGAAAGCACAGGATTTCGACCTCGAGATGAAGATGATCGCAAATACTGGGCAGAACAGGACAGGATCTCAAAGGAACAAAGAGAAGCAAAAGCAAAAGCAGAAGAGGAGAAGAAGGCAAAAGAGGAGCAGATTGCCAAAGCAAGGTTGATTTTGGAAGCGGCAGCAGACGAGCAGGAGAAGAGAGACAAGGAAGCAGCAAGGCAGGAAGCAGCCGCAGCCGCCGAGAGAAGGCGAGAGGTAGAAGCAGCAGCCAAAGCCAAAGCAGAGAGAGAAGCAAAGGAAAAGGAGGAGACCGAAGCGGCAGCAGCAAAGGAGGAAGAAGAGAAAGCAGCAGCCGCAGCAGCCAAAGAGGAAAAGGAAAGAAAGGAGCAGGAGAAGAAAAGAAAGGAGAAGGAAGCCAGGAAGAAAAGAGAGGAAGATCAAAAGGCATCGTCAGCGTACATTGCCCAGAAGGAAGCAGAAAAGAAGGCAGCAGCAACAACAGCAACAGGATCAGGTGAAGCAGACAGGATCCAGAAGCTTGAAGAAATGATGAAGGAGATGATGAAGGAACGCAAAGAGGATAAAGAAAGGATTGCAAGCCTTACACAGGAGCTTGAGAGCAGAGGATCAGCAGCCGGGTCGCAGGCACCCACAGAACCTGACACAACACCAGCAAAGGAAGAGGAAAAGCCAGGAGGAAAAGGAACAGGAAAAGCAACAGGAAAGGAGCCACCGAACGTCACACAGCACAAGCAGAAGGAAGAAGACAAGGACGACCCAGAACTGTCCGCCAAAGGACCAGTGAACGAAGCATCGTTCATGAAAGGAAAAGGAAAAGGAGAGTTTGAAGGAAACTGGTTTGCAGTCTACAGTTTCCAGAACAGGAAATACCAGTGGAAGTGGAACGAGTCCAAGGCACAGTGGTACTGGTATTCAGGATCAAAGGAAACAGGTTGGAAAGCAGCGTCAAAGGACAAGCAAGGAAAAGAGAAGTGCAAAGCGCAAGCAAAGATGAAAGAAGAGTGGCTAAAGGAACAGCTTCAAGACCAAGAGGAAGCTAAAGACAGTGAAGAGGAAGGCAAAGTGAACTTCCAGTGAAGCAAAGGAACCGCGAGCAGTACTGAGGCCAGAGAGCCGAGGAAAGAAGCAGCAGGACACAGGAACCGTGGCACAGCCCTTTTTGTTTCTGTGGTGATCTAGGTAAAGTGCAGGAACGTCTTTTGTACAGTCGAGCAACCTTGGAGAGGATTGCGAGTGAACGTGCGCATACGTTTGCAATGAGGAACAGTGTTTGTTTTGCAAGTGAAAAGGAACTGCAGCGTGTTTACTGTTTGTCAAGGAAAAGTCGGAGTCACCTCAGTCGAGGAACTTTCGCTAACTCCGAAGGCGGGGTGTTAAACATTCTGCCAGGAACAGTAACACAGCTAGTGCAGTACAGTTAATGTACAGGAACAGCCGTCACGCACACGCGACGTGCAGGCTCGAGACCCCAGGACACACCGTGCCCAGGAACAAAAGTGTCCGACAGTCTTTGTGGGTAGGAACCCTTAGTGAAGCCCGTTCTTTAACAAAAGGCAAGAAAGGCAAGGGCCAGGTTGTCTTGTCAAATGGGAAACAGCTTGCACTCGTGTCAGCGACTCCTGATGGCCGTCAGCTGTGTTATGCATACAACCACCAAGGCTGTACTGATCCGAAGTGCGCACGTGTGCATGCATGTCGTGTTGCAGGGTGTTTCCGCGAGCACCCAGCCTCGCAGCACGAAGCCGCGACAGCGGGTAAGTGACAGAGTTGCGCTCAGCAGGGGGCGCATGGGCACCAGCTGCCGTCGTTGCTGTCAGGCCAACCTGTGGCATCAAGGGTGGTTCATGTCTTTGCAGATCCTGCTGAGCGCTTTGATTGGGAGCCGCATCTCAGCAACAGCATGTCGCAGCCAGCAGCCAGAATTCGTCCCTTTTGGATTTGATGCAAACAACCTGTTTTGTGGTGATGCTTGGGATCAGTTGTTTGAGCTTGTGAAACAACCAAAAACCGTGATCTTGATGTCGCCACCCTATGATACTTTTAGTCGGGCGAGGCATAAGCAACCTGGGCCCCGGCCACTCCGCAGTGACAAGTGGCCCAGAGGTTTTCCATGGCTTAAGGATTCGTCTATGCAGAAGGTGACTTCTGCCAATCATTTTATCGACCAGTGTTTGAAAGCAACAGTTTTCGCGGCCGAGGCTGGCAATTTCTTCATGTGGGAAGCGCCGGAACACTTGGGCCGCACTGCCGACGGCATTGTGCCGAGCTCCATTTGGGTTTGGCCTGAATTACTTGACTGCATTCCGCGTTTTGCGGCCACAACCTTTGTGCATTACTTGTGCGAGTTCGGGGCGGACTTGGCCAAACCGACACGTTACTTGAGCAATTTGCCTTTCTTCCTTCACTCGCCACGGCCTATGACTGGGTTGCCGGTGCTGGATGCGGATCACCGCTACGTTGGGCCGCTGCCCGCGTCGTGCCCTCATGGGGGTCATGCAACTAGCACCGGCAAATCACAGACTACGCAACAGTGGAACTTGCCGCGGGCCCGCGGCTGGCCCCCTCAGTTGTGTCAATTCATGGTAGCAGCCATCGACTTCTCGCTGCAAGCAGATGGGGAATGCAAATCCTCCAAGTCGAAGGTTCCTGACAAGGCAATTAAGGTTCCCGATTTGCTAGGTGGGCACCCAAGGTTCCTCCCGTGCCCGGCGTTTCAGGTTCATTGGCTTCTGACCCATCCTCGCCTTCAGGTTGCAGTGCCACGGCTGCTCCTCCTTCCCATTCAGGTTGTAGGTCCCCTAAGGCCACGGCGGTTCTCCCTTCCCGTTCGGGTTTTAGTTCCTCTGCACTTCCTTTGAAGTCCACCCGCGATCCCGAGAGTGCCGCATCACAACTGCTGGCGGGCGCATATATTTTTTTTGATCCTGTTTAATTTTTTTTTGATCCTTGGGGCAGTAAGTTTTTTTTTGATCCTGTTTAATTTTTTTTTGATCCGGTACTCTTTAGGGATGACCCAAAGCCGCGGTAACAAGCCGTGTACCTAGCTCGCGAGTAGGTCAGACCAGACCACTGCGGTTGACAGTCGAAAAAAGATGCGCCAAGCCGCCTTGACACGTCAGGTCTTGAACACATTCTCGTTAGCGGCCTTTCGTGGGTGCTGTCATACACTGCTGTTAAGTGGGGGTAGCCCTCAGGCAGTGTGGACACTCCCCATTGAGAAAAGAGCCGTTCCGAGTTGCAAGTCCTGAGTTCTTTCAAGATGTTATTGCTTGAACATTTCATTGCAGATTCAATTGATCTATTTGACATTGAATCAATTGTACGAGCTTTTATCGCAAGTGGTTTACGTTTCGTGTTTTTGTTCACGTATGTTTTAGAGGCATGTGAATCTCTGACACATCGCAGCACTGGCTCTAGCACTTGAGTCATCTTGAAAAGCAAGATTGTAGCCTTAGCTGCTGCCCAGTAGCTCCTGTCTCTGCCTTAGAGTCCAGCCATGTTGCCTGCAGACATAGTTGTTCCCTTGACCATGTTTCAGTGGGAGCTTGCCCAAGATCAGCCTTTGCCCAGGCCTTCGCCTTTGCCTCCGCGGTGGATCCGTCCCCCGGACTTTGCCTTTGCCCCAGCCCAGCTTGCCTCCCATGATTGGGATTGGTACGTTGTAACTTTCACAGAATGTCTCGCCTTGGCACCCCACGAGGGTCAGCCTCTAGAGCCATGCCTCCAGGAATTTTTGTTTTCCTGGACCGTTTGCCCTCGCATCCTTATTTGCCTTGAGGTGCATGAGTGGCTGCCTTTGATTTTAGCCAACGATGAGTGTCATCAGCTCATGAGTGAGATGCTTTTCTAGCCAGCCTTCTGCTGCACAGGTCCCGGCCGGGCCCTCAGTCAGCTTTATGTTGTCTCAGCTGGACCCATACTTCGTGCCTTTGCGTATTTGCCCTTTGCTTGGCACTGGCCTGGCCTTCTCGATGCTTTGCCTCTTCCAGGTGTTATGGGTCAGCCTTCAGGTACTGGCCTCCCAGACCTTCTTCTTTCAGGTACAGTCGGACCGCGCCTTCTGCTCTTTGCCGGGGGTCCCTCGTGACTCCCTGGCTTTACTTTCGCAGGAAACACATGAATATTTGGTTTCACACTTGGATGTCTCTGACTAGCCTCTCAGGTCCTTGCCAGTGCCCCAGATGCCCTCTTCAGGATCGGCATGGCTCGGTCCCCAGCCGTCAGAGCCTGATTCGGAATTGTCCCCGGGATCCTCTCGGGCATCAACCTCAGCTCCCCCCGCCTTCTCTCAGCCGCATCCGTCTCCGCCTCAGCCAGCCTTTTTGCCTTTAGGAGGGGGGTATCAGAGCTATCATTTCCTCCCTCCAGCCTATTTTGAGCGGTTTGCTCTCTCGCCTCAGGGTTCCGACACAGGCAGCTTTGACTCAGGAAGTGTCTGGCTGTGCCCTCCCAGCCCTCCAGCCTCCAGCCGCTCAGGCAGTTCCCACGCTTCCAGCTTGGACTCTGCCCTGCCCGGCCTGCGCTATCGACACCCATTGCCTTGGCGCCCGTTTCGGGTCCCCATTCTTTGGGTCTTTCAGCCTTGCCTTGGCCGAGTACTTTGGTTCGCCGCCAAGGAACTTCGCGAGCCTTTTTTGGGATGGAGCCTTGAAGGGATGCTCTTTGGGGTCGCCCCCTGTGCCAACATTTTGCTTTTCGCCGGCTCCAGCCAGGAGGTGGCAGCCCGGTGTTTTCTAAATAAGGCCTGCCATGACTACATAGCCGAGCGCATTGCCAAGGCCGCAGCTTGATTCGCCCTTGCCACTGGTTTTCCGGGATCCCCAGCCTCAGCTGACATGCCGGCCTTCTAGCCTTGGTGCTTATGCCCTGCCCGCGCTCAGGCACCTGCAACTTACGGGCCGTTGCAGCCTCAGCCGCCCTGTGCCTTCGCGCAAAACGGTCAGACCCAGCAGACATTTAAAGCCTTCTATCAGCCCCTTCCTCGAACTTGCTCTTTTGCTGCACTCTGCCCCTCCAGGTCTCTTCGAGCCAAGGCCAGCGCCTCAGCCGCCCAAGCCTCTTTTAGCCTGCGCGAAGATGTTGGTTAGAGCAGGCCTCCGCTGCCCCTCTTGCTTTCAAATCAAACCTCACTTGCAGAAACCCATTTCTTCTCCTGTCGCGCCGGCCGCAGCAACGCCAGCCTTCAGTTCTTCCTCCTTAGGAACCCAGCCTGACTCTGCCGACTTCTCCGGCTCTACGTGATCCAGTTCAGCATATTGCCTCAGCCTCAGCTGTCTTCCCCGAGTTTGCCAGCTCTACGTTGCCTCAGCAGCTGCTCTGGCTGCAGCTATCATGAAGGGTCACCAAGCAACGAGGCGCCAGGACCGTGCACAGCGCACGCCTTGGCCTTCGTCCAGCAATAGCCCTGCCATGCAATGGCATCAGGGCCAGCCGACCTCCAGCGTCTCTAACTTGTCAGCCATGGGCCGTATGAATGCGGGCCTCTCTGGCCCCCTTGCCTTTGATCCAGACACCAGCTCAGCCTACGAAGCCCTGCAGCCCCAGCCGTCCACTCAGGATTTCAGCCAGGAGCCTTCGGAGGAGCCGGCCTTGCTTACTCTGCTGGACAGACTACGAGCCTTGGAAGCCAGGATTGGGATACTCGAAGCCGATCGTAGAGGCGCTCAACAGGCTTTATGGCACCATAGCAGGCGTGCCCACGAGAATCCCCGCCTTCGTTGCCTTCTCTCGCCTTGGGTCTTTATCAGTGCCAAGATAGACGCCGTCAAAATACGCCTTGATCAGGTTTATGCCAGGTTGGCCGGCCTTTTGCTCACCTTGCAACAGGCCTTTCCAGCCATAGCGCCGTACTTTACAGAAGGGGCCGTCGATGCATGCCAGTATCATGGCCCCTCAGCCTTGCTGGACTCCGAAGGAGACCCCGAAGCCTAGCCTTACTTTGCCTTCAGCGTGAAAAGAGCTTCTGCCAGCGTGCGTCTCCATCACAATTTAATGGATTGTGTGCCCTCAGCTTAGCTGAGGCTCAGCCGTCTTCAGGCCAGCTGGGTGACTCAGCTAATAATCGCCTCGCGCCCGCCTTGTCAGGTCGCCCTCGATTCAGTCATCGACTCTGCCAGGACACTTTGCCTGCACAGTTTTCTGCTGTGTGTCCAGCTTTTTGCCTCAGATTTTACTCTGTTCTTCAGCGTTCTTTGCACAAGTCCTATGGGAGCTTCAGCCTCTGCCCCAGCCATGGCATCCGACCATGATGCCTTCGCAGACTGGATGAAGACTCTCGGCCCAGCCGACATTGCCAGGCTCCGAGCCGTCCATTCGGCATCTGCGCAAACTGCAGCAGATACAGCGGTTCAAGACGACCCTCGGCCTTCTGCAGATAATCCTTATGGCCTTTCGCCTCGTAGCCTTCTGATCTATGCAAATCAAGAAGCCTGGTATCACGCTCAAGAGGGCTGTTATACTGGTCCGATCCCAGCCTGTTTTGACTATGTCCCACCTCAGGACATGGACGACCTTGCCGACGCCCACATCGCCGAGCCCTCTCAGCCTTCCACAGCCCCGACGGCACAGGTGACAGCAGCCGATACAGCCGAAGAGCCTTTGGAGCCAGCGAGCACCCTTATTCAGCCTTCCCCTACCGATGGAGTCACCGACCGAGGAACCGGTTCCGGACGAAGGGGAATTTTTGCACATGGAGGAACCCTCTGCCTCCACGCCTTCGGCAGCCTTTCAAGCCCAGGAACAGTCGGTCCTTTACACCATGATGGGGGCCGAGGTCGACATGACAGCGGTGGTCACTGCAGCCTCGCATCAACAGCCTTTCCCCCTGCGCTTTTTCGACAGCGACGCCCAGACCAAGCCACTCAATCGCCATGAACTTTGGCAACTTATTAGACGCCCTGACTTGGGCGTAGCCAGGAAAGAAGGGGCCTACCTGCCGGCGGAGAAGTTCGTACTCAGCCCTCCGCCCAACTTTTTTCCGCACTTCTTCTGTGCACCAGTCGGCTCATCGGCGGATGCTTCCCCGATGGCACAAGCCAAAGCCGACCCACCCCTCATCAAGGCGGTGCCTAAGGGGGCAGTGATGCCGCCAGCCAAGACGCCACCTCCACCAAGCCACAGCCGTCTCCCAAGCCGCAGCAGAAGCGTCCTCCGGAGGTCCCTCCACACTCGAAGCCCCCGTCACAGCAGATCTTCTTGCCGGAAGCGGGAACCAAAGCCATTCCACAGCCCCAGCCCTCCCCACCACCACCAAAGCCACAGCAGCCAGTGCAGCCACAGCGGGAGACGCCGGCCCCTTCGGCGATCCCGGCGGCCACCCCACAGCCTTCTCAGGAGCCAGCATCCAGCCTCAGCCCCGGCCGCCCTCAGCCTTTCACAGCCAAGTTCGTGAGAATGTGCTCTTCAAGCCAGAGTTTATGCCTTCAGAGCACCAGCCCAAGTACTCCGGGCCGTATCGCCCACAGGAGCCTTTCGGACTTGCCATTTACAGTGGAACCGCCGCCACAGCCAGCCAAGCCTTCAGCCGATGCCTCCTCCCAAGAGGAGGAAGAGCCTTCAGGAGCCGACACCCAGGTCTACCCGCCGTGCCAGCCTTTGCCCGAGTTCTTTTCTGCCGACTCGGGTGTGTTGCGCTATTGGCACCAGGGCGCCGTGGGGTCCAACAACCCCAGGAACATGGGCAACCAATCTGTGCCTACCATGTGCCCTCAGGACATCGGCAGCCCTCCCGAAGCCTTGATGGACCGCCGCAAAGGCCTTACCATCCACCCGCCTTCCACGCCCTACCCCTACAGACCACCAGCCTTGGCACTGCCGCGTTTGCCCTGCTCCAATATGCGCAATTGCATCATTGTGCCCAGCCTTACACTGCCGCATACCTACGAGCTCGACCCAGCCTTTGCCAGGATGTATTATATGGGGAACCGCGGCGAAATGCGCTGCGGTATCCCATGTTCTACAGTGCCGTTCTGCCCTTACCATTCAGCCTGCGGCCGTGAGCTCAATAAGGGCACGGTCGAGCATGAGGATAAGCACTCGGGCCACCAGTGCTCGCGCTGCAAGGAATTTACAGACCTTGGGCGCAGCCCTTTTGAGTGGTTTTCAGCCGTGCCGCCGCAGGCAGCCTTAAAGCGCTGATTAGCCCTTCAGCCTTCAAGCCTTCATAGCCGTCATAGCCTTAATTACATTACACTGCAACAGTTTACTGCGTGTTCGTTTTTGAAGGCTACGGGCCCTCTGCCCTGCCCTAGCCACAGACAGCCGCCGCCGGCAGATCGCAAAAGCCTTCGGGAGCCTGCAGTCCTTTCCGCCCTAACTCCTGCCCGCGCAATTTGCACCTCTGGCCGCAGGACCTTCATCAGCTCTGCCGCGACCTCGGTTTTGCTCTTTCACTGCTCTTGCCTACACTGGTCTTGCCCAGCCACGCCTCAGCTCGCGATGGATCCAGACCCCGACCAGGACGAGGGTAGCTGCCTTGACTCATGGAGCCCAGTCAACAGCAGCCACAGCGATTCTCAGCGAACAGGGAGGTCTCTTCCGGCCCCCCTCTGGACTCTGTCAGGCCTGCTCCACCCAGACGACGGTCAGCAGTCAGCCCCACAGCCTGGCCGCAGCAGAAGCCCGAGCAGCTCACGCGGTCGCCAGTCTCTGCCGAACTCAGCCTTTGTTGCCAGGAGGTTTCGGAAAGATCTCACTGCCTGCGCTTCAACAACCAGCCCTATCCCGCCAGGAACAGATGCCGTTATTCTGCTGCCTCTTCAGACAGTGCACAAGGCCGCGCCAGGATTGCCGCCTCCCAGCCGCCCGCCGGGAGTGCGCCCGGTGCCGCCGTTCGGCCGAAGTCCATGCGCTTGCCATTGCCCTCAGGTCTGCCGACTCGCCCTCGGTATCCACCCTCTCTGAGCAAGGGCGGTTTATCCCAACCTCCAGTAATGCAGCCTCACTGGAGCCCCGGCCTCGTGGGCTACAGCAGCCCTCTATGCAAGCCATTGCCACGCCTACCGCCACGGAGCCTGCTGTACGTTGCCCCTCAGCGGCCGTGACGAGGCCCCGAGGTCCACTATTCCATGTGGAGGACCTGCCTTCCAGACCGGCGTCGTCGCCGGCCTTCACCCGACCGCCCCGCCTGCCTAACATGATGCCCTAACATGATGCCCAACGGTCATGCCGAAGGCGGCCCGGCCCAGATCACCAGGAAAGGCCAGGAAGCTTCTAGGAAGGCCAAGGCCCTTGATCAGTGGAAGGAGCTTCTCTGGCTCCTCGGCGAGTCCGCCGACCTTTACCGGAGCCTTCAGGAAGCTAAATACTCGCAACAGCTACTCATGCAAAGCATCAGTCCCTTCACAGCCGGGACCCTCGAGACCTATCTAGCCTCCTGCCGTCAGTTCATGGAGTACATAGTGCTGAACAGCCTGGATATCTGTTCTATCTCAGTCGCTAGCCTGGGAGACCTTCTCTGGGCGTGCCAATCAAGCCTGGAAGAAGATCGCGAGGTTTGTCGCACAGGCCCTAAGCCCATGCTCAAAGCGCTAGCTTGGCTAGCGAAGACAGCAGGTTTGCCACAGCTATCATCTATCCTCTCGGACCGCCTTATCCGCTCCTTCGCGGCACAAGCGGAGACTGACAGAAGGGAAGCGCTTCCGCTCCCTCTAGCAGTGGTCGTCGCATGGGAGCGCCGCATATGCCAGGCGGACTGTCCCGTTGAGGTATGCCTTCTCCTTGGGGGATTCTTGCTGGCCCTGCATGGCGGCCTTCGTTTTGGCGACCTCCAGCGCATCAGCCTCAAAAAGCCTTTCGCTTACTGGCCATAGCCTCAGAGGAGTCTGCTGGCATACTAAAACCACCAAACGGGGACAGCCTTTTGCAGTGCGACTTCACGGCATTTCCGGGCGCGACCCCGCCAGCCTATGGGTTCTGCCTTTCCTAAGAGCCGTGCAGGACAGCCTGGGAGCGCACAGAAGCGATATACGGGAACCGTAATTGCCCGGACTTCATTCTGCCTACTCTGCATAACATCGGGGGTTTCCCGGGCAAGCCGGCCACAGCGTACCACCAGCCTATGTCCTACAGTCAAGCACTCGGGAGCCTCAGATACTTCACAACAGGCCGACATCTGGGAGGCTCCTCACCAGATTTACTCACTCCCGAGGAGGCCTCTGCCTTTACCATGCACAGCCTCAAGGTCTGCCTCCTCAGCGCCGGGGCTCAGCTACAAGCAGCAGATAAGATACGTCAACAGCAGGGACATCATAAGAGCCCTAGCGTGCAGCTGTACGGCAGAGACGATACCCTCGGCGCACTAGCCCTGCAAACCGAGGTTACCTCAGCCTGCGCAGCGGGTTGGCGGCCTACCCGGCCCATAGCCAGGGGCGGCCAGCACCCGACCATCGAGCCGCCTTTCCAGGTCCACTCCGGTCTGCCGCCGGCGACCTTCCAGCTTTCGGCTCTGGGCCAGGGATTGAGCCGGTTCATCTATGCCCGAGAAGTCGAAGTCGAGGCGACCCTCGACGACACGCAGCTCGCCTCCCCGGACGCTACTTTGCCGCAAGGTCCGCCATCATCTGCCCTGGATTCCCAGCACGAGGCAGATGACCAGACTCTGCCGCCAACAATTCCTGCCGACGACATTGAGGCCCTTCTAGTGGAGAGTTTCGCGTCAGCCAGGGACGAATCCTCAGATTCCGAGGACCCCGGCCGCCAGCCAGTGCTACACGAAATCAAGCTTTTCCAGAATGGGCCATGGGGCTCCATACATGCACAGCAACTTGGAGCGGACAAGGCGGCATGTGGCACTCTACGTTCTACGGCAGCCTTCTCTCCGTCAGCTCCCAATGTAGCCTTCTTCTGCCGCAGAGCGGCCTGCAGACGCCTCTTGGACGCCTTGCCATAGCGCCGGAGCCAAAACTCACAGCGTTCCGTGCATTGCCTTCCCGAGCCGTTGCAGACTGGCTTGCCTCCGCAGCCATTTTGGCTCCCCACTTTTGCCCACCCCTCCAGGTTTTTCCGCAGCATGGCGGTCTCAGACCAGTCTGAGTTGGCAGCTTTTCTGCAGACCCAAGGGGTCCATGAAGTAGTTAGCAGTGGCCTCGCCCTCAAGCGGCTCGAGACCGTGGAGGACCTGGCCTTCGCATACCCAGATCTCAACAGCTTCGATACTTTCTTGCAAGGTCTCTCCGAATCAGACCTTAGCGATATGGGGGTCTCCGATGCATTGCACTCAGTCCAGTCAGCCAGAGCCAGGAAAGCCTTGCGCACGGCGCACAAAGCCCAAGAAGCACCCCAGCCCTCGCTTGCCTTCACCCCGCCGTCACTCCCAGCAGCCTTAGCCCCGTCCCAGTCCCCTTCCTCATGGATGGAACACCTCCCACCTAAGCTCAGCTCGGAGGTCGTTCAGGAGCTGGTCTCAACCTTCAAAGCTAACTATCCAGGAGAGCTTCTGGACGACGACACTATGCCTTCCATCCGCCTTCTGAGCCTAGTTCAGCACAGCCTTCAGCCAGGAGAAAAGCTTAAGTGGATCCCCTGGCAGCTCCGCCTTAGCTCCAAACAGTATTCCGAAATCATGGAAGCCAAGTCATCCAAGCCTTTGCGGACGGAGGCGCAATTGCTGGCATCAGCCATATATGACGACACGCCAGAAATGGCAGTCTCTCATCTGCGCCTCTCTGTGTCTTGGCTACAGCGTATCCAGACAGTCTTTCGGAACGCGTGGGCCCTGTGCGGCGCTGCACACCTCAACAACTTGAAAGCCTTCGACAAGCGAGTCGAGCATCTCGCCCTCCCAGATCTGGCCGACTCCTCCCTTAGAGGGCCTACCACCCAGGAGCTCCTGGCAGCCGACCGAAAGATTTGGAGCACTATAACGAGCCTGGTAACTACCGGATGGAGCCTTGATGAAGCCCTCTATGAAGTGACCAGCGTACGCAGTGACCTAGCCAACCTACTCCAGCCGCGCCCTCGCCCCCCGCCGACACAGCCAGGGGATAAGGGCCGCAGACCCAACGGAGGCAACCCGCCCCCCCCGCCAAGCAAGCGAACCCGCCTTACGGGTCAAGCCGACGACAGAGCCACGGGCAAAGGGGGAAAGGGCAAAGGACGTGGGAAAGGCCTTCAAAAGCCAGACAGCCCTTCCAAATCCGAAGCCTGGCCTTCTAATTGGGTACTTAAAGCCAAGGGGAAGGTGCTGTGCAAGCGCTACCAGCGCAACCTGTCTGCCATTCCGAACTGCAAGTTCGCGCACTTGTGCGCGGTCCGCGGATGCGGAAAAGAGCATTGTGCCATCGACCACGATAAGAAGCCTTCCTGACTAGGTCCCGCAACAGTGCCTCAGCCAGAAGAGCAGCCTTCCCAGCCTCACGCACAGGCCGACTCCGCCAGGCCCGTACAGCCCTCCTCAGCATCCGAACCTACACAGGCTCCAGCATCGCCAGCCTTTGCCACAGCATCCAGTCAGTCTAGACAGCCGTCCCGGTCGCAGCAGACCCCGCTCCCTAACCCAGGGGGAGGCCCGTCGGGCAGAAAGTTCGCAAACAGAGTTTGGACGGCCATCAGCCATCGTCAGGCGGCAAAGCCTAGCCCTGATCCCAGCCTTAAGACCCTAGCAGTTAGCCCCCACATACCCATAGGAGCCTCCTGCTTGCGTCAAGCTCAAGATGCCAACGTCTGTGCCATCGACCTGTCTAAGGAAGACCCGCAACAGTTGCCCGGCCTGCTCCTCCAGGCCGTATGGGCCAGGGTAGTCCTAGGATTGCTGGCAGATCTCGAAGCCCTTGCCCCCCACGTCGAGGAAGCCTGCGCCTTCCTGCAAGCCATACGATCAACCGGCGCTTCAGCACTGCTCTTCCTGTCAGCCGACCACTTTCTCCTCCAATCCGAAGCTTTCTGCGAGGCACTACATGATGGTGGCCTCGCACTCTGCCCCGAGCCGGACACAGACAGAATCATCCTGGCCACGGCTCGACTGCCCACATGGCCTTGCGTGGATCCGGGACTCACAGCTCTGGAGCCATGCAGCTCTCAACCAAGCCCGACCAGCCAGTCACCATGAGCTAGTCCCTAACCGAGCCCCCATTTGCGACGGCGCAGGCAACGCCAGCTCAGCCGACTGGAGCCGCCCTAAACCCAGCCCTAAGGCCATGCAGGACATTATGCAAGCCTGGCTGAAATGGGCGACGCAGAGGGACCTACCCAAGCGTGTGTTTGCCCACCTTTCGCAGAGCCGGCCAGAACATCCACTGCCTGAAGAGTACCAACTGGAGCTCATCCGCATTGCATGCGAAGTCATGGACTGGGACTACGACTCCATGACACAGGCAGCCGTCGGACAGCCTTTCCGCCTCAATCTTATGCAAGCCTTCGCAGACCTCCTTAAGGACCCGGATAGCTCCCTGCCAGCCTTACTTCGGGTAGGGGTCCACACCGGAGTTTTCGACGATATCCAGCCCTCCGGACTGTGGCCCAGAGCCAAGCTACAGCCTTTGTCAGCCTCAGGCCTCGAGGTTTGCGAAGGCAACTGGAAGCCCGCGGAAGCCGACCCGGACACGGTTCGTTCACTCCTGGCGGAGGAGGAAGCCGCCGGCTGGATCCAAGCAGTACCAGGGGGCCTTGAGGAAGCTAAGCGCCTCTGGCCTAAAGGCATAGCGGTAGGCAAGCTTAGCCTTGTCCAAGCCGAGAACAGAGACCCACGCCTGGTCCTGGATAGCACTGTTTGCCAAGTAAATCCGATGTGTCGGATACCCGAAGCAGTAGCCATGCCGACAGTCAACGACGTCCGGGCAACTTTCATGCCCTCGGACCCTCGGGGGGTCTTCCTGGCAGCCAGCGTTGACTTCAAAGCAGCCCACAAACGGGTCAAAGTACACAGCACCGAGCAAGGCCTCCTGCTTTTCATGTTCGAGAAGATCCTGTACAGATATGTCGTCTGCCATTTTGGAGCCAAATTCTCCGCCTACTGGTGGCAGCGCGTGGGAGGCCTTATCACGCGCATAGCGCACCATGCCATGGCCTTTGCGCCGCACAAGGCCTGGCTCTACGTCGACGACCTCCTTTCGGCTTTGCTCCGAGCCTTTGCCCCCGAGCTCCTTTTCCTGCTTATAGCCACCCTCTCCAGCCTTTCAGCCCCGATTAGCTGGAAAAAGGCCTCCGTCGGGGACAGCCTTGTGTGGTGCGGATGGCACTTCAATTTCCGCCTGGAGACAGTGGACCTCTGCGAGGCCAAAAGACTCAAACTCTGCTCGCAAATCAAAGCCTTACTTTCTAAGAAGAAAGTCCCCCGCAAAGACCTAGAGGCCTGTATAGGTCTGCTTATGTGGGCCACAGCCATCAGCAAAGTCCTTCGAGCTCACGTCGCCCCGCTGTACAGTGTCCTCAACAGCCCGCCGGGGAGCAACTGCTCGATCTCTCCCCGTATGTGGCCAGCCTTCCTCCACAGCCTTGACTCTTACTAGAGCCGTCGTTTGCAGACTGGTGCCAGGCGTAAATCTCCCCCTTAAGGCTCGGATTATTGAGGTCGCCAGCCGACCAGTGCATTGCAAAACGGACCTGCCGCCTCAGCCGAAGTCTTCAGGCCCAACGTGGGTCCGCATCTCGGACCCCACCTGCCCCGAAATTAAGCTCACCAACTCAGCCCAGGACAGCCTGCGATGGCTTCTACCTCGCGTTGAGGCAATCCCTACCACTAGCCTTTCCCTCCCGCCATTAGTGTCGTGCCTAGCCAGAGCCGATGCCATGGCCGAGGGCGACCGCGTAGGCATTGGGGGTTGGATTACCACCAAGCAAAGCATGGCGTGGTTCGCTGAAGCCTGGAGTATGGAGGAAGTCCGACAGACATGGCCATTCCTCACCAAGGATGCCCAGCGCTATATAGCCTGCTTCGAGACCTTAGCCCAGCTAGCCTTAGCCATGACCGCCAGGGAGCGCCATGCCCTCTCGCAGTTCTCAGTTTGCCTCCCGTCGCAAAGCGACAACACGCCATCGGAGGCCGGGATCAACAAGCTCTTCACTGCAAGCTGGCCTCATGGTCATCGTGCCACGGAGTGGAGCTGCAGATATCGCACGTGGCAGGGGCCCACAATCAGTGGGCGGACGATCTCAGCCGGGGGCGCCTGCAAGCCTTCAGCCATCGCCCACAGGAAAGGGTCAGAATTAGCCTAGACCGCCTAGCCTCAGCAGCGTCACAGGTGCAGTGGTCAGAGCCACCGGACCACACTGGCCCACAGCGGCCTCAGTCTCTAACATCGGCCAAGGTGCACTACGCGACACCCTAGCCTGCGAGCATCAAAAGGCCAGGAGCGTGCCTTCGCACTTGATCTAGCGGAGTTTCAGCCTTCAGTTCGCTCCGCATGCCAAGGTCCATCTCCACCGCCCGCGGTGGGGGAATCTACTTGCCTGCGGCCTTACCGGTTGGATCTGTCCCTGAAGTGGGGGAGTTTATGCCTCGGCTAGCCTTTATGCCTTGGCACCTCCGGGCTAGCCGCAGAGCCTTACAGATCCAACACGGTATAAAAGTCGCGTACAAGTGATAGAGCAGTGCAAGCCTTCTAGAACGTTTCGTGTTTTTGTTCACGTATGTTTTAGAGGCATGTGAATCTCTGACACATCGCAGCACTGGCTCTAGCACTTGAGTCATCTTGAAAAGCCCACCCGCCCACACCTAGGTGCCGGCCTTCGGTTCCAGCCTCAGCCTTCACTGAGCACCTTTTGCTGACGCCTTGATCAGCCCTGCTTTCTCAGCTCGTCTGGGACAGCGATGCTCTGCAAGTGACTTCAGACACGTGCTCGCACACGTCGAGCTTGCTCCGTTGCCGCGAATCGCCTGCCTCAGGTCTTTTCGCCCTGCCTAAGCCTTACTTTCTCAGCCCCTAACTCGGAACGTCCCTAGGCACTACCCCT